ATATTTTTCTGTGCTCTGCAGACCATAAAATGTTTGTTTGTTAAAAAAACACTCATTTTAACAATAGAAAACAGATACATTTGAACCAGTGTCTCAGGTTTGAACACTATCAAACTTCACTCAAAATCAGGATCTGCTTTTGTATCTTTCACCGTTTCCCTTGATCTGAAATAAAGAACTCTTGATGCTTGTGCTTTGCTTTGGAAAATTAAGTTTTCTGCTATTAAAAGTAAGATTTTTAGATATTTTATGTTGAATATAGTCTCCAGTTGCTCTGTGGCATGCCAATCTTTGGGAAGTTGGTAAGTCAGTAAGAACATTTTTGCATCATATATTGGCAGATTCAATGCAATTCAATTGACTCGTGAAAGATTATTGATTTTTTTGTGATAAAGCAGAAATCTAAGTGTCTCAGTAAAGGTCAAGGGAAGCAAGAGTAATAAAGGAATGGAACTGTTGATTCTAACTTATCTGCAAACATTTGAAACTGCTAAAAGCTATTGTAGTTAATGTACAGTGATAGTTAACCTAAACATTGGACACGTTTTCTTTTTCTTGTTAACAGCTGCTTGCAGTGGAAAATTGGAACAGCACACAGAGAGACGTGGAGTCATCTATAGTCCTTCCTGGCCACTAAACTATCCTCCAGCCGTAAACTGCAGCTGGTATATCCAAGGAGATCGTGGAGACATAATAACAATTAGGTATGATTTGTGATGTTCTGCTCAGATAGCTCTGTTGACATGAAATGTAAGGCTTATGAGCTATGCCAGCATCAAGTTGTGTCTGAAACAGCTGTTAAAATATAGAACTGCTGTACTAAGAAAGTTGTCTGATGCTTGGTGAAGCATAATGACAGGTCATTGGTACCTCAGTTTCAAAGATGTCCTCCATTCTCGCTCAGATATATCTGTCCCACATTACTCTGATATCTAAGCACCTCATAATTTTTTCAGATATTTATTATCATGGTATTCCATGGATGTATTATCCCCACTTGATAGATTGAGAACTGAAACACTGAAATACTGGTCTGATCACATTGGTTAAGTAATCATGTTTCTATTTTCACTAAACTTATGTAGATACAGGCAGAAGAGATGAAATTTGGATTAGGCTAGGGCTTGGGTTTAGGGCTGAGCTAGGCTATGGACGTGAGTTTGAAGACAGCAAAATGTTGACCGTTCCTTGCAAGCTAATCTGCTTGTAATGGTAGAAATGGCTGTTTTTGCAGTATACTGATGTAATCCATTTTAGGCAAAGTAAACAGGACGTCTTTTGTATCCTATTTTATTCAAAGGGCCTGTTAATAACCTGTTGGGGATGGGCAGACTACAGCTTACATTATTAGCAATACGAATTATTCTTTTGGTTATTTGTTTTGGGACACTGGCTACTTTACCAAGTGATAAATAAGACCTAAATACAGAACACCAAAATTTCAAACAGTTCCCTTAAGGTACCCTAAATAATTTTCTTGTATTTTGTTTATATCCAGTCTCCTCTGTGTGTGTACAGAAGCTGGCTAATTAATGCAAGAAGTGACACAGATGTAGTCATTTTTAAAAATTTTGTAGGTACATCCTAGAGGCCCATTTTAAAATTGGCTTATAGGGAGCTTAAGATTTTTCTGACAAAACAACCTGTCAGTTTTCTGTAGCATATTAGTCGAATATATTATTGTGTAAAAATACTACCTATTAAATATTTAGCAAAAACAATATATCCTGTTTTATATAGTACTGGAAAATAACCAATTATTGTTAAATAAAAAGTTAATATTTATGGCACAGTTTCAGCTCTTTCTCGAAAAGCACAGTTCAGAATAGAAGAGTATAAATGAAATATAAATATAAATATAGTATTGTATGAAAAGGATACTTTGGATTACAGTATTGACATACTGTGAGAGTGCTTAATTTTCTGTGCTAATCACAGTATCCTCTTCAGACCAAGAATTGTTTATTTAAAAAAAACCCAAGAAGCCGTTTTTGTTTTTAATACTGTTGTGTTTGACACCATCTGCTCAGTCTTAGCTCAGCTGCTTAAAAGGACTGCAAACCTCTTCAACTGCAGATGCTGTGCAATTAAAAACAAATCTGCCACAGATGGAATAGTGGGATGGCTCCTTCTTCCATTGTTCAAAATAGGAACTAATTGTCAAAAGCAAGGAAAGCAGATACTTGCCAATATTTGAGCTCCATAAATAGGTGGACACTTTTAAACTTCATTAAAATCCATTGACATAGGGAGTGTACTTCTAAATGGAGACTGCTGAAGAGTATGGGGAAAAGCATAAATGAAATACAGGACCTTGCTTTTGCTGGTGCAGTCCCCTTGGGCAGCATATGTTTATTTTTTTACTACTACTACTACTGTTTGTAGTAGTAGCATTAGTATTATTAATGATAACAGTAATAATGTTGTTTGCATTCTGAAATCACCTCAAAGCTCCCAATATGCCTTGTCCTCTTGTACAAACACAAAGGTGACCAGTAACAAAAAATCTGAAGAAATGGGGAAGAATGGCAAAATGTTATAATAGTTCTCAGAGGCCAGTGACATGCGCAGATATGTAACTTTTAACCTCAAAATTTTATCTACAAAGATATTTAGCTGTAAAGAGCGGAAAGCCTGAGCTAAATTGTGTCCATTACAGCCAGTAGTAGGTGTGTAGATGTGTCTAGTTGAGTTGTGGCAGCTGACTGTTTATATAGTTGCATTTCTAACATAGTGATGCACACCAATCAGACTTTGCACATTATTAACATTGATATGTATGACACCACCATAAGGCTATGTTAATTGCTATATTATTCAGATGAGGAGACTATCTAGCATGGCAATAGCAAACTTAACCATTGAAAGTAGATTATTGAACTCTGTAAATGAAGTGACACAGTTACTTGACTAGCTGAGACTTGAATTTTAGAAAGAAAAAATCCCGTGCACTGTATTATGCTATCTCTGTGTCCTTTGATCTTCAGCTCTCACTGTCAGTAAGACAGGTGCATTACATAAGTAGTGTATTTGGGATACACCAGAGTCACAAAGGGATAAAATTACAATTGTAAGTAGTTATGGTATAAAAAAATATTGCAGTCTGTGCCAGTTTCTTATAAGCCTACTATTCAGCAGCTTTCAATAGAACAATGCTCTGTTCTACATGTGGATAAAAGATATGGGCTCTCAAGGGCATCTGCTTTGGACACTTTGTTGTAATATCTATCTTCCATATGTTTGTATTGATTTTCCTCAGCTGCTTACCTTTTCATAGATTTCCCTTCCATAGTTTCCTTAGTTTTTAAACAGTCGCCAGGGACAAGTTCCACAAAGTCAGAAAATAAACTTTTTTGTGTAGGCTTTGCCATTAAACAGTTACATTTTTTAAATACTCACTTTTAAATAAGTGACCCATAGAGGGGAATGCAATCAAGATCTAGGGAAAAAAAAGTTTAGCTACTGACTATAGGGATTTTCTACCATTGTGGTGTCACTGCAAATTCAGACAGCCAGGAGCCATTGTGTTAAGTAAATCAGTTATTTTTCCAGAATTTTTTTTGGCTGTGACTAACCAACTGCAATCAAAACCTTCCTTTCTTAAAACTAAAGATGTATAAATTCATGTAAGGAGAAATTTATCATAAATATGGTGACTGTCTAAGTCAAGCTTAAACAATTTATTTTCTGTGGCCTTTTCCATGATAGCATTTTAAAAAATCTTGTACATTTAGCTCTAGGAATTGTTATATATAGTAACTGATTCTTAAACAGGTTTTAAAAGTTTTCCTTGAGAGGAGGCATCCATGCACGTCTGAAATGAGGATCAAGCCCTTCTTGTTTTAACAGTTGCTGTTATTTAATTGCTGTAATTACCCATGAGGTGATAAGAAAGAAGTGTGTTTGATTCAGTTAATCTGTAAGGTGCATATTTACCTTGCCTTCTGCCTGATTGTACTGGAGTTACAAGACTAAGAGTAAAATGTTATTCACATTCAGAATTTAGGTGAGAGGTGTTTGTTGCTTCATTAACTGCTCTTCCTGACCATTGCCTATTAATTGGATGGGTACATTTTTATCTAATGTCTCTTCAGCAATTCATATCATTGGTCTTGCAAACAGTTAAGGAACTTTCCCCTTGCAGTTCTCATTCACACCATCTTGGTGCTGAAAGCTGTTGCTACAGTGGGCCCTGTTCCCGCAGACCTTACAGACGTGAATGGTCCTGTGAAGACCAGCAAGATTGTTTCATGTCACCTTTGTGGAACAGTTAAGTAACATCCCCACTTTGCAGAGAGGAAATCTACAAGAGTTGAAAAGCTTGACTTTGAATGCCCTACAATGAATGCTATTGGAGTTACAGGTACTCAGCCTTCAAAAAGTAGGCCTGGGTGTCTTCCTGGAGGTGACGCAGGAAGCCGTTGGTTACAAGGTAGGAGTAGACCAGAGATTTCCTTATTTCCAGGCCTTTGCTCCTCAGTAGTTTAAACAAATTGTTTGATGAGCCAATTAAGGCAGTGGTCTCCAAACTTTTTTGATTGTGCACCCCTATCAGTAAAAAATTTTTGAGCACGCACCCCCAATATATGTATATTTATATTTGCTCACCCCATCAGTAAAAAATGTTTGAGCATGCACCCCCAATATCTGTATATTTATATAAATATGAATAGAAGTTCTAATATTTTCTTCCCAAACCCCAGTGGATTGTCTTGTGCTCCCCCTGGGGTGCGCGCACCCCACTTTGGAGACCACTGAATTAAAGCATCAACTGTGTTCACAATCTGCCCTTGCTGGGAGAGACTGGCAAACAGGAGTGATTTCTCTTGCTTAATTGGCCTATTTTATGTTGAGCCAATGCTTTGCTGAGCCACCCATAATATTTATTCTACATTATTATTTTTTCTTAAATGAGTTTGTAGATGAAGTTAAGTATTTAACTTTGTTCCTCTTTGTGATGCATCTTTGTTACATCTGTTAGCCCTTTTTGTTACCATTCCTTTTCCTTTTTCCTGCTTATCCCTAGATTTGCTTTACTTTTCCAGTTTTAAGTGTGTATTTTTCTAATGCTTTCATCACATAATTGTTCACATCTAAATTACTTCTGGATTTCTCTCTAAGATATGGAGGACTCAATTTATAAGCAGGGATCCTGGTTTTCTCTGATTAAAAAAAAATCTGCAGTTTTCAGTTAAAAAAAGCAACCCCAAACCCACATTTTTCTGTGATTTCAATGAAACACCACTAATATACTAGTGGAACACCACTAAAATACTAGTGGTGTTTCATTTTAATAATGGAAAAATGTGGATCTGGGGTTAGTTTTATTTAACTGAAAATTGGGAATTTTTTTTAAGTAATAGAAAACCAGGATCCCTGCTTATAAGGAATGTTATTTATAAGTAAATTTCTATTGCATGTTTCTCATTTAAGTCCAAATGGTAGTAGTGCTCAGAAAAGCATTGGTTTTATAGGCAGTGCATCCATTCATTTTACAGCAGTGAAAATGAATATTGATGTTAAGCTGTTTTAATGCAGTCCTTGCTAGCAACGTGTGAAGATTAGAAAGTTAATAAGAAAATGTCATTGTAGGTCACTGCTGCTTCTACAGAGCAAGTCTTATAAGCAGTATATGTAATAGAGATAATCTTATAATTTACAGTAAGCTTCCTGGTCCCTGTTGTTCATGAGAAGTAGGCTTTTA